TTTTTTTTTTTTTTTTTTTTTTTAAATTCAGACGACATCCATTCAACCGACGTCAGGTTTCAGTGTAAAATACATCCTCACCCCTTACCAAAATGTAGCTAATAACTCTTTTCTAGACACCCCGTGTTCAATTTGAAAATATTCTGTAACCATGGAAACGTGATTTTAGCTGTGTATTTAAAACCCAGTAAATTTTAAAAAGTTACTCCAAAATTCGCTTGAAGATGAAAATTGAACTAATGCTTTTAATTTATTTGCAAAAAAATAAAATTAGGGTTTTTTAGCTTCTATTTTGAAACATAGTTGGAACTGTGTAGCGAAAATAACCATATTTTAAATCAATTAATTTATAATATTAATGCTCTGTAAATTTACATTGAGCACTATTTTTTGTAAAAATAAAATATCTATAAGAACACCAGTTTTATATCTTATTGTTCTTTCTTTTTATTTATATACATATATATATATATATATATATATATATATATATATATATAAATGTTTTAATCATAAGTGGCAATATTTAATTTGCATAATAATTTTTAAAAAGCATATTTTTCTGCATTTTTTTATTTTTTAATGTAATTGAATCACCTATGTGGACTGACTATATCAACAGGACTTGCTTCAGGAATTATCTGCCTGCTAAAATTGTCTTTCAGTAGTGTATTCTCTTTTACAATAAACCTCTTTTTCTTTCATCTATGCCTGTGTTGCTGTTCCTTCCACTCGAGTACCACCTTTGTAACTTTCTTTAAGGGTACAACAATTTTAATTTAAATTTTGAAAAATTGCCATAGATAAGCAATGTTTCTGTTAATAAAATTTAATTTTTAAATTCTTTGTTTGAATAGAAATCATTTTATCTGCCTTGTTAAAATTCTGTTGTAAGTCAGAAAACTTACAACATTCATAACAAGCACTATTGTCATCTATTAGTATGAATTAGTCAAATGTAGATAAAAATAAAATTGTGGTATTATCTAAATAAGTAAAAATAATCTGTTTAATTAGATTTTCTTCAAGCTATACCAAATTATTTCAAAAGGTGAGAAAAAAAAAATAACAATTTAGCTGAATCAATTTTTCTTATTATAGAAAATTTTTCTCTCAGTCAGCTATTATAGTTATATAGTCAGTCAGTAGTTATATCCGAAGTAGAAAATTTAAGTGACAAAAAGAAATTCAGAGAATAGATATCTGGCTAAAAATGTTGTCTATACATAAAATTTTAGAGAGGGAAGAGAACTTCTATGACAATTTTTTCTCTGTTCATAGGATGGGTATTTGGTGAGTTTAAAAGATTTATGTAATACTTTCAATTGTTCCACTTGGTCTGGGATATACTAAAACTCAATTTAATAAATATAAACTTTTATAAACAATATGAAGACACAAGCTATCTGAAAATGAATCTAAGAAAAATAATTTTATGAAGAGTCACTGTTACAACAAACATTTTAAATACTTTTTGAACAGTATGTGTACCATAAATTCAGTTCTCAGAATTTTTTTACATTTATTTCTTTTTATCTTTGCCTTGAAATTGTTTTTATCACTCTTTCAGGCTTTCATGGCTTATTCCATCAGAGAAAAAATATACTGAATAAATCAATAAATATTATAAAAAGATTTTTTTTCTTTGCCTTAAACATTAAAGTTATAGGCACCTTTAAAATATTTTGGTAAAAACAGATTCCTCCACCACCACACACATATATATATATAAAATACACCCACCCACAAGATCACAATAAAAAAAATTGCCCTAGAACTGAGGTAAATGCACATGTTGCTGAACAAATATTCCTTTGATAAAAACACTAGAAATCTAAGGGGCAATGATGAAAGGAAATTCATTATCCAGTTCAAAGATTTTCTTTATAAAAATCTTTTGGAAGACTTTCAGGATAAAAATTTCAGCTAAACATTTGGCTAAAAACAAGTGAAAGACTTTGAGCAAAAGGATTTACCAATATTTAAATGTTAGTGTTAAAAAAAAAAAAAAAAAAGAAAGATTCTTTCATAATTTCTCATACCATCTTTTTTTCCAAATTGAAAATAAATATCAAATCAGCCTGCAGACAGAAATCAAAGATAACAATATAATTTAAATTAAATATATTTTGAAGAAAACAAATAAACTTTGGTTGTTGGATTTCATTCAATTCTGAATTGCCTAAACCTTGTACACCATGTTTTATGTTTCAAATTTTAAACAATTTTTTTTTTAATGTTAAGTTTGATATCAATCTCTATATTTTTCTACAATATTAAAAGACAACTTTTGTTATTAATAATTTCACTTTTTGCTGCATAGAACCTAAGTACTGAATGTTAATAAATACAATTTCCTTGAATTTTCTTCTTTTCTTATCATTTTCTGTTTATTCTGTTTAATCAATGATAAAGGTAGGAATTTAAAAATAAGACTTGTAAGTGCATGTATAGTTAAAGTAGGATCATTGGTGCCTAAAATTATTCTAAATTGGTATTTCTCCTAATGACTAAAATTATAAGTTTCATTAAATTTGATGCAATTTATTTTACTTATTTCTGTGAAATGATAGACAGTTTTTTACATGATATAGCTATAAAAAATGATCAATTATACTTCACATTATTAAATAAGAAGATAATTTTTTGGCAAAGTTTAACCATCATGTCTGTGTCAAAAGGACAGTTTTTTTTCCATGACACCACTATTATTTTGTACTACCTTCACTCTCTTGATCATGATTATAAAATAATAGGAAAATTAAAACAAGAAGTAATCTGTGATATAAAATAATTTGAGAAGAAAATTTACAATGTCCAAAAAAATCATGTTTAATTAAATTTTCTTGTTCAATAATTCATAGATATTTTTATAAAATTATGAATAAAAAACTTCTTTTTCATAGTTATTTATCTATAAAATGGTAAGTAATAAATATTGTAGTTGGTTCACATATTTTTAACATTTTATAGGTTTTTATAAATTTTTGAATGAAAGGATTTCTTTTACAATTTGTTTCATTATAAAATGATAAATAATGAATCTTAATAAAATAGTAAATAATAAATATTGCATTGTACTTGGTCCACATATTTTTTATCTTGTAAATCAACATTGCTAAATGTGTCTCAGTATTTAAAAGTTATAGTGGTGTCAACAGAAATGATGTTCTTTTCAAACTGCTTTTTTTTGGAGGGCACAAAGGTTAAACATTGTTAATTTTCCAATTTTATTTTTGATAATGAATTTCTTTGAATTAAATTGAAGCATCTTGAGTGCTTGTTTTATTTACTTTAGTCATGTAATCAGTTTACAAATATTAGAAACTGAGAAACAAGTAAACAACAATTTTTGTTATTTGTTTTTTTTTTCTTTATTTTATTCACTTATTTTTTCAAGTTAATTTCTAAATAGTTCCTTAGTGCCATTCTGTTTGATGATTCTGTAGCCTAACCCAATGAGAAATTTCAAGGGAAGGTGTTTTGTTATGAACACTGTTGGAGACCAATACTTGTACAAATAGTAGTTTTGGTCTTGAATCACCAAAACTGCAGCATGGTGAGCAACTGGCGATTTGCTCAAAGATCAAATAATCAGTTAAATCTCTTGGTGGGCTTCATATCTTAACATTATTTTTTTCTGTTTCATTTTGGTTTTTTATATTTTATCAAATTTTGCCTCCACTCAAAAAAGAAGAAAAAAAATAACAGATGAACTTCAGTGTATGTAAATTAATTATATATTTAATATTATTAATCTGCAACCAAGCAATTTCTTAAAATATTGAACTTGAATTATTTGGATACAAAATGAACACTTCAATTATATATGCATTTACAGAGTGCAATGGGTAAATTATTTTTATATCTTTAATTTTGTGCATGTGTGTTGTTTTTGATTTTGTCAACTACACAGTATAGTAGGGTCAGTTAGGCACCATCTGTGAGAAAAATGATGCAATTCACTCCACCAGAGATTTGGAAACAGCATGCTGTACTGCTTGGCATTCTCAATGGAAGCTCCAATACAAACATTTCAGAGTGTTTGGACATCAACAGAGGACAGTGCAGAGGATTCAGAAAGAGTTGGATGAGTCTAATGGTGATTACAAAGGTACAGCAGCTTGGAAAGCTTGCTCTGATTGTTCTGATAAGAAAAGAACACCCAAATTTGTTGGCGGAGGCCTCAGACTCAACATGAAGGCCTGCAGCAAGTGCCTTGAGAAGGTAATGCTGCCCTGGGTCAAGAGGGTAGCTGCTACAAGACTGTGTCTGGCAACAAGATTCTGCACCATGCCACACAAGCAGGAGAACCCAGGCAATTTCTGCGACCACATCAACCTTACATCTGGCCATCTAACTTTCCAGACTGCAACCATCTTGATTATTATGTGTGGGGCACAGTTGAGCAAGAGACCAATAAAACTCCTTGTAACACTAAAGATGAACTGACAGCAAGGATTATGGCAACATTCACCAACTTAAACAAGGAGACTGTCCAGAAGAGTTGCACGAGATTCCAAAGTTGTCTGCAGGTCGGGGTTGAAGTCAATGGCAATTTTATTGAATAAATTTACTCTTTAGTATTTCAAGATATTTTTGTGTAATTTTGGTAAATATATCTGTTAAAATGAGATGTCATCATTATTTTGATTTTTGTGTGATTTAGATGACAATTTATCCATCTCACACTATATATAAGTTTAAAATTTGTAAATATACAGAAATGGATGTCATTTTTTTTATCCCCCAATAAATAATCACTTTATATTGTCTTTTTAGTCTACATCATAGTTATGTAGTAAAGTAAGTATATCCCTCTCTCTCTCTCATATATATATATATATATATATATATATATATATATATATATATATATATATATATATATATATATATATATATATATATATATATATATATAGTATAAAAGTGATATCCTCTGTAGCATATATTCATAACAAGGCTTACAAGCACATCATGTTGAAATAGCAATTTCTGTGCAATCACCGAAGTTAAGCAACATCAAGCCTGGTCAGTACTTAGATGGGTGAACACTTGAGAATACCAGGTGCTGTAAGTTTGGATGTGTAGGTGGTGTATGGATAACAGTTTGGAATTGTTAATTGTAGAGGTGAGTTCTAATTCCTGTTGAGTTCGTTATATTCACTTACACACAAATACTCTTGGTAAAGGTATGAATTCACCTCTGCTCACTCAGCTATGGGTTAATTAGTACGACTTGTATAAGACTTTTTATGTAATAAAAAAAAAATTCTTACAATCTAAAAAAAAATTCTGGTTTTAACTAACCTGTAAATGTTGATAAGCTGTAGAAAATGAATGAATCAATCAATCAATAAATTCATAACAGAAGCTGACAAAATTTATATATGACTCATTAGGCTTCAGTTGGTTTGAATCTACCTCATACATTGAGTTAATGTCTTTATTCAACTTGCCATGAAGAAATAGTATTCAAATTTTTGGATATTTTTTGTAGAAATTCAAATGTAAAAGGCAAGTATTTGAAAGAAAAAAATAATAGAATAGAGAAAATAAATTATAAATTCATAACAACAGTATTCACAAATTTTAAAAAACTTTGCTGTGATAATACTTTCTAAAGCACACATCTGCTAAGGTAGCTAGCCAATCTCTGTTGCAGACACCTGCTCAGGTATATTTGTGCATGTTTAACACCCATACAGGCAACTTGTTGTTTACACTGCAACTATGCTGTGCAGACCTTAGTTAAAGCCTCTGGGAGAGAGCACATTTTCTGGTGTGATCAACAGTTTAAACCTAGACAGCATGCTCAAACCCTCAGTCACAATACCTTTGATTTTGTGCTGAACAGTTCCATCTACCCAATTTCACTCGCAAGGCTCGGCCAACTTGTGGTATAGTTTACAAGCACTTTCCAAAGCTGCTGCATGCTGGGGTCACCTCACTAGGCTGATAACATCAAGAAGTCAACTTCCTGACAAATTAATAATGTTGAAATTCAAACATGATCTTCATGATCAGAAATACAAGAGGCAAGTCTATATAGGTATATCAATAAGTCCACAGCATAAAGATGAGAAAAAGCAGCTATTTTATACAAGAAATATTTATTATTTATATTCAGACTATTGTCCTCATGATGTTGTTGTTATTATTGCAATGTTTCAACCATTGTGCCCTCTGGCTTTCACTAGGTGTATATCAATATGGGTAACATACAGGGAATTCTGAACTGAAACCCTTATTCAATATATGGGACTAGAATGTTCTCATTCCACTGCCTATATCTAGGGAAATCTTGTCTATTTCTTATTCTTAGTACTGCTCAGCTATTGCTCACCCGTTTTCACTGATTTCAAGTACAACAAAGATGAGGACAATAGTCTGAATATAAATAGTGTAAATAATGATAACGCCCCAACCTAAAAATTCAGAAAGTAATATTTTGTTTCCAACATAATTTAATTTCTTGCCAAAGCACTTAATTCAGTGGTGAATATTATAGATATCAAACATTATACAGTGAAAATTTTTGATCACAATTTAGTTTTACTACTAGTTCCAATGACAAATACTTTACTTTTGATAGAAATTATAGCAGAAATGTGAGCACAGAGAAAAAAATAAAGTAAAAATATACAAGAAATGATTTTAGAGAAGTCTTTTTAAAATATCTAGTTAGCTTCCTTTCTCTAATATGTTTAGATTAATTTGCTTCTGTAACATGTTTAATATTAGTCTAAAACAGTTATACAAGATACAGAAAGCACCTGGCTGTCCTGACCTATGATGATTCATGGTTACAATGCAATCTCCATTAATCTCGTTTTGTCCTATGCCATTTGCTTTGCACAGATGGTGCAGCAGAAAAATACATTGCATAGTGGAAGAATATGTCATCATATGGTGCTTGAATGAAGAAGGTGACATGGGTCTGTTCCTGTTTGTGTGCCATCTTAGATTGTTGTGCATTCACTCTCTTTCATTTGTGTTGTGTTTGTGGAAACTTATTCCTCTTCATTATGGCTCCCAAGCATAGTATAACCTTTTCTGATGGTGGTGCTTAGAATTAAAAGAAAGCCATTGCCATGGAAGTGAAATTGGACATTGTTTAATATACTGAAAAGGGAGAAACAGTCACAAACATTGGCTTGCTTGGTTTGTTGTCTGTCAAAAACTTAAATATATTATATATATATATATATATATATATATATATATAGAGAGAGAGAGAGTTTCTCCTGTAAGAGATAAGGACATTTTCTTGCTAAACTATAAGTTGTTGAATTCCAGATAAAAAAGAAAAACAAACTTATTTGTTTTTCTTTCCCAGATTTGCTGCTGCAAGAGGGACAAGATTTTATGCTTTGTCATCTCATCTACTGAGAACCAATGGCATCACCAGCAATAAATATACAAGCTGCTTAAAACAACATCATTATATATATTATTTTTCATTTCATTTTATTATATTTATGTCCTGCATGTGTTTTTTTTTGAGTTCTATTTATATTAATATATGTCATAGAAATGTGTTATGCCCTAGATTATTACTTTACTATTGTATTAACATAGGTGAGTGACGTAAGTTCTTATTCATGGATTCTTGCAGGTACATTCTGTTTACACAGAAAATTGTGTTATGACATATCACAGGAACAGAACTCTGTCATAAATCAAGGACATCCCTGTATAGAAAGTCCTAAAACCTTTCTAAAAATGTTTCTATAGCTTCTTGCTTATTCTGTTAGTTTTTAATTTATTCATTATCCATAAAAGTAATCTTTTGCAACATACAGGGTACATCATAAATTTAGCAAGAAATATGCATTATGTAAGATTTTATAATGTAAATCAATGTTTTCACAATTAGTATTATTCAAATAATGTTAGTAAAATTTCTAGGATATAAGATGTGCACCTCAACTTACATGATTTTATGAGAAATATTTCAATTATTTATTTTGTTGGTTGGTTGTTGGATTTAATGGCATGTCAACTCCTATTTGTATTCATTTTGTGTGAGAAATTATGCTACTTGAGGCTTGAGGTAAATTCATATATATATATATAAATTATATATATATATATATATATATATATATATATAGGGGAGACATGGTGAAATAATGGACAACAGTTCAGATTGAGGAATCGGAGAGCTGAGTTCGAATTCAAGTTGAATTTATTACATTAACTTACAAACTAATACCATTGGAAATTGTATGATTTTTCTTCTCCCCCCCAGATATGGATAAATAGCAGGACAGACTGGGTTTTATAACCTTGGATGGCAACTGGTCTAAGAGAAGGACAACTCTGAATTCAAAACCTTTGGAGGGCCATTTAGGGACTTTGTGGCACACAGTGTACCAGGTCTCTGTATTAGGCTCTTCAAAAAGTGTGGTTGGTTTTGCACAAAGCCTTCACGACTCTAATCAAGTCATATGTGGGGGGAGGGGGTCTGGCTGTCGGTTCCTAAGAACTGAGTTGCTTGACATGTCAAAAACGATAGGAAAGTTCATTATGTGTGTGTGTGTGTGTGTGTATTTATAAAGAAATAAGAATATTATCAAGAAAAACTAGATTTAAGAAAGTCACAAAGAGTGATTCTAGAAAAGTTAAGAGAGTAATAAAGCAATATTTGAATAAGCTGCTGCTATGAATGTAAAAAGCAATAAATAATATTAAGAACACTGGCTTAAGACATGAAATAAACAAAACTACCGAATGTTGGTGGTAAGGAGATGATAAATAGGTGATACTTTTCAGGTGATTTAAGAAACATTTTTATTTTATTTATTAAACTTAGCCTACTACAAATCCAATAAAAAAATTGTGATCCATCATTAAGAGAGACCTATATAAGAATGGTAATGTATGGGTAGTGTAACGATTAACAGTGTGATAAGTGGAAATGTTTATGATGAAAGAGAAAAGAAATGAAAACCTTAATCATTGTATAATGATACTCACAAAATAATACCTTTATTCTGCAAAAAATCCTATTTCTATATAATAAAATAAATGTATCATTATTCATTGGCATCATTTATCATTATTTTATACATTAATTAGTAATTTTTTTCATTTCTTTTCCTCTTTCAATGTTGATATAATTTTCTTTTCAGATATTGTAACACCAACAAAAACAGCCCAAAATTGGATCATTATTGGAGTGCAAATGCTGACCTTGGACTATTCTTATTAAGTTGCAAATTGCACTGGAAATTGTTTTATTCTTCAAGTTAATGCATTTTAATGGTATTGCTATGATGTGCTATTTTGACTATGCTACAAAAACAAACACACCCACAAGCAGAAACTGAATCATTACAATGTAGTTATTTAAGCTTCTCTCTACATTATATATTTATTTAAAAAGTCAATAATCAATATTTGCTTCATTTCAATTTTTGATCATTTCTTATTAAATGCAGTAAAATCTCTAAAAATTTACAAACAAGAATAAAATTAGTTCAAAATATTTTGTACATAAAACATGAAGGAACATGTAACAAGTAACTTAGTAGATGCAAGAAAATATTTTAGTAATTTCAAAAATATTTTTTATTTCTTTTAATGTAATGAGTTTTATAATGCTGAGAGAAATAATATACAGTATAGGTTTATAATCCTGTAAAAAATATTAAAAGTATTTTTGTTGAAATATTTCATGTGGAACCGAGGGAAATTTTAGCTTCATAAGTTTGATAGGCTTCTTGGTTTTCTTTAAAATTATTTTCAAGATTTAATTGTTTTTTTTGTTTTGTTTTTACTATTTTTCACCTACTATAACATCCAAGAGTCACTTAAAGTAGAGGGTTACTAAATGAGATTGTCACCCAGGAATCAAAGCAGCAGAACTTCTTGAGTCAGAAACAACATGCCTGAGCTTTAGGCTCAGATGAGATAAATTTGCTTGTTTGGAAGGACTAATGGGCCCAGTAGGAGAATGGGGTTGTCACAAGGGCTGCTCAAGGATGAGCTGACATCATTTTTTTTATATTTAAAGACTAAGAAAATAATAATATGCACAGAGTATATAAATCTGACTTTCTGCATAAAAAA